ATATATATATTTTATATTTTTATATATTATTTATTTTATTTTATTTTATTTTATTATTTTTTTCAATATTTTATTTTATTTTTAATTATTTTTTATAAATTTTTTAAAACTAAATATTCTTTTTATTTTTGTTTTAAAATTATATTAATATCAATTTATTATAATAATAGTAAAAAGAAAAAATTAAATATTTATTATTTAGTTTTTATTTTCGTATATCTAAATCTATTTATAATAAATAAGTGTATTAGCATATAAACCATAATACAAATAAATAAATTCTTATAAAATAGTTCTTTTTATCAATAAATATAATATATTTAATATTATTATTTTATATATATATATATTTATTTTGTTATATAAATTAATTTTTTTTGTTAATTTTATTAACTATTATTAATTTAAATCAATGTCACAATTAATATAATTAAATAAATTAAAGTTCTTTTATAATATAATAAATTAAAATAAAAATTAATAAAATAGATATACATAATATAGCTTACTTAATCACATATAAAATAAAAAAATATTTTTGTAAATAATCTTTATATTTATAGCAAAAATTATTTAATATTAATTTTATTTTCAAGTTTTTTATTTAAAAATAAATAATCCTTAATATATATTGAATTTATGAATGAATAATTTATTTGTTTTAAGTAAATATTCGTTGATTTAAAAATTTAAATATTTTTACATTTTTAAAGTGGATTATTTAATAATTAAAATATAATTAATAAAAATTTTGATGAAAAAATATTAAATCAAAAAAAAAAACATATATAGAACTATTATAAAAAAAAATATAAATAGAACTATATAGAAGAAAAAAAATAATAATAATAAAATAAATAAATATAATATAATATTATTTAATAACTAATTATTGAAAAAATGATTATAAACAGTTAATAAATCTAAATATTAATAAGAAATTCAAAAAAAGCTGAATTTCATTAAGTCTTTGGTACATTTTATAATATAAAAACGTAACGTAAAATAAAAAAACTAAAATAAAAATAAATAAAAAGTACAATAATGATTAATATTTTATTGCAGTAGTAGAAAAAGAGAACATAGAAAATTTAAAAGCTGAAAAATATACCCCTTTTAATATGACCGAAAAATATTTAATCTAAATGTAATTTAAAGAAACAAAAAAGCAAGCTGAGTAAATAGCTGAAAACATAATAAATAAATTATTAAATTAATAAAAAATATTGAAAATATGGAATAAATAATTTAAAACTAAAAAAATAATTAAAAAATTAATAAAAATTATTAAAAAAAGAATGAATTAATTAAAACAATAGATTAAAAAATAGAATTTACAATAGAATAAGAAAAAAAATTTTTAAATAATTTTTCCCTTAAAACCCCTTCTAACGAAGATTTTGAAATCAAATTAACTGGCTCACCTTATATAAATAGATATAAAAATTTTACGACTTTAAATGGACAATAAAATAAAGTTCTATAGTTAAAAACTAAATGTGTTTCAGATGAAAAAGGTCCTAATTTTAAGAATTTGAATGTATAGAGTTTCAATGAAGAAGGTTAATTTGATATAAAAGAAGATGATTTTGCTTATAAAAGATCAACGAGGATTTCTTTAGCTAAGAAAAACGTTGAAAGGTATAAATTAAAATCTAGAAATGATAAAATTATGCCTTTAATTGAATAATAAGAAAGTTTTTATAATAATAGTAAGTAAGATGTGAAATTTATTTAGAATATAAAAAATATTTTAATAAAATCATTAAAAATTGATGAGTAAGTGAAAAAAACTATTCTGAATACAGAAAAGAGATTATCTACTATTAAAAAAATTAATTTTATTAATTGACTTTTTTATGTTTATATGCATATTATTAATAAAAATATTTTTTTTTTTAAATTTTTATTTTTTATTTTTTATTTTTTTATCCACGAATTTTTTTTATTAATTAGTAATAAAAAACATTTATTTTATTAACAATTTAATAAATAAATATATATACTTTATTAATAAAAATAAATAAAAAAATAAATAATCATTTAAATAAAAAAAAATGTCCGAAGAAAAAGAATAAATGATTAAAACTTTAAGATAAAAAGCATTATAAGATACCGAAAAAGTAGCCTAAGCTTAAAGATTTGCTTTATTTTCACAGCCTCCTCCATTAGCAGTTGGAGATGACTCTTTATTTTAAAAAAAAAAATGTAAATATAAATAAATTAAATATTGTTTAAATATATAACAATTAGCATGGTTTTCTTATTTTATTTTATTTTATATTAAAGTTAAAAAAAATGAAAATGGAAAAATAGAAACTTAACCCAGAAACATTCAAGTTTCATGTCCTAAAAAAGGAAAAATTAAATCATCATATTTTTCGTTACTTGGTTTTACGACTATAGGGGATAAATATATAGATTAAGATAGAATAATTAAATAAGATGAATTAAATAAAAAAAACTTATTAAGTAAGATTAAGTATTTAAACCTGCAAGTTCATATAAATCAGTGTATATTTTTTTATATATTAAATAAAATAAAACAAAAAATAGAATAAAATCAGAATATGAGCATATACCAGAAACAATTTATAAAACAAAAAATTATAAAGATAATGATGGTAATAAATATAAAAATAAAAACATATAAAAAATAAATAAGAAAAATAAATATATAAATAAAAAAATTGTTAAAAAAAAAAAATATGTATAAATAAATATGTATATTTATATATATATATATATATTTGTATAGGAAGGGTCACTGTTGCTCCAAAAAATATACTTACAAGTGTAACAGTTAAAAATATATTTAAATAGCCATAATATATGGCTGATCCTTATGATAGAGCACGTTAATTAATATCTGTAAATAAAAAAATCAAAATATATATGTGTATATAAAATAATATATTTATATATATATATAATTTTATATATATATATTTCTTTTCTTTTGTATTTTAATTAATTATTGAAAAATACAGTTATACTTTATTTTTGTTTTATTATTGTATATTTAATTTTTTGAAAATAATTAAAAGATTTTTTATATATATATACATATTTTATAGAAAGAAAGATTAAAACATATTGATATTCTTAAAGATAAACCCGCATTTAAATCCAAACTTGCAGGAGGAAAATCTTTTACAAAAGACCGTCAATTATATGGATTTGAGGGATCAATATAACCTAAAACACCCCAAGAAATAAAATTTAATATTTATAAACATGATAATCCTTTTAAACCATCAAGTCCTTCTAAAAAAGTTTAATTTAAAAAAAAAAAAAAACATAAACCAAAAAATAATAAAAAAAAAAGGGTAGAGGAGGTTTAATCGGAAAAATTTATGAATATATGAGTGATCCTATAAAAGAAGCTAAAAGAATAAATAATGAAAAAGGAAAAGATTAATTTAAGTAAAAAAATAAATTAAAATAAATAAAATATAAAAATATTAACATATTAAGACCGAATAATGGTGGAAATTTAACAAGACCAACCCCAACTATAGTATGTCATCCAATAAATATAAGAAAAGAAATGCGTGCAAATTGATAAAATAAAAAACAATATATATATATATATATATATATATATATATATTTAATATATATATATATATATATAATTATATTAAATATAATCATTTGCCTTCAACAACCTTTTTTAATCTAAAAGCTATATTAGTTTGCATTTTACTAACCTAATCTTTAATATACTAGGGTATTTTTCCTTTTAAATCACTACAAGTGATATAAATACATTTACATTTTCCTTTTTCAACTTCCTACAAAGACCATCCTCCTATAATAAGTTCTGCACGAGTACATTTTTTAGGTTAAGGGGGAATTTTTTCATTTTCAATAGAAAAAGCCAACAAATAAACTATTTTATTTAAAACTGCTTTCAATTATATCATACTAAAATCTCTATCTTATACTCCAAGTTTTCCACTATAAACATCCCTCTATATTTTTATATTAGGATTTAATTAATGTACAATTTCACCTTCTTTAAATGATTCATCCAATATTTTTCTGTTAGAATCATCTAAAAAATATTCTACTATTTTTTCCAAAGATTAATATATATAAGCTTCACTTCTGGTAATAATATTTCCCGTATTTTTGTCTACTTTAGTATGAGATTAGAAGTCTTTTTTTTAATCGTATTCTTTCCATTGATTTTCGGGGGTTAATGCAGATTTCGTTTAGAAAAAATCGATTTTTTCCTAAATTATTTTATTGTATTTTTCACCTAATTCGCCTTTTAATAAGAAATCTTCTTCTTTTTTTTCTTCTTCTTTTCTTCTTCTTTTTTTTAATTTTCTGCGGACTTTTTTACTAAAATTTCCTCTTTTTGGTTTTCTTCGTTTTTTTCTTAAAATTTATTAATTATTTAATTTTGGAATTATATATATTAATGTAATAATGAATCGGGTTCTCTTTTTAATTTTTTCAAATATTAGTTCAAGCCTAATAATATTTATGGAGAATTATGTCCCATATTAAGGATTTCTAATGTATTTTCAGAAAAGAAATATTCTATACTAAATCCTTTATTATTTATTATTTATAAAGAAATTCTAAAAAATCTTCTTATAATAAATTCAGGACTTTCCGAAAACTCAACTATATATAAAAATTCATTATTTATAAAAAGGATTTAATTAAAAACTTCGGAAATGTTTTTATAAAAAAGAGCACTTATTTGGTTTTATTCAATAAAAGAATTTTATTAAACCATTAATTACCATTCTTTTCGATTGTTTTCTGTTAGAATATATAAAAACTCATTTATAGAATGGGGAAAAAAATATTCAGTTTTGAATAAAAAAAACGTTTTTTTCTCAGTTTCTTTCTTATTTTCCTAATCGCATATAAAAAAGGCAATTTTAGGCAATAAAATGATATTTAAACACATACTAAAAACAAATATAAAATAAGCCAAAGAATATAAATTATATAGTTAATAAATTATTATAAAAAATACTATTATTGTCAATAAAATCGGTAAAATAAGTTCTGGGGAAGAAATACATTCTTAAAAATTTAAAAACGAGAAATATTTATTATGATTAGATTAATATTATTTAATATATTTTATATTAAATGGCTTATTTTCCTATATATATTGAAGTTTTAATTATTAATAATTAATCTAGAGTTTTTTTTTTATTCATTTATTTTAGTAATTATTTCTTCAGTTTTTAATTTCACTTTTTATATAGTGTAGTATTAAAATTAATTTTCGTTTAAAAAATTTTTATCTAAGAAAGTCTCTTAAGTTTTTTTGAGAATATTTTAAGTGTTTATTAAAATTTGGCTTTTTCTAAAAATTTCGTATTCATCGTTTTTTTAAATATCGATTTCCATAGTGCTTTACCTCTTTTAGTTTGAAATTTAATAAAATAATTAACATTGCTAAAATGCAGAATACCAACTTTTAAATTCTTCTATTTTTATGAATTTTATTAATATAATTGTATTTCCCTCTATAAATGTTAACTTTAAAATGTATTTGTCGTCTTTTTCTAACATTTGTTCTAATTTTGTACCTTACATATTGAGAGTTTAGCGGGGTTATACATCTTCTTGTGATTTATAGTATAAAAAATAAGAGTTTTGGATCTTAGCGAATCGCTCTCTCCATATTTTTTTACGTTTTAATTAAATGTAGCCTTAAATTAATTTTTTTTATGATTATTCCATTATTAAATAATTTATAATATATTTATTTTATAATAAATTTGTATTTTTTTATTTAAATATAATTAAATATATATAAATATTGAAAATAAAAAACTTTATAAAAACAAAGATATAAAAAAAATTAAAAATATAAATAGCTTAAAAAAATGAATAATAAAAAATAAAATTAATATAATAAAAAAATATAATAGTTAAAAATATAAAAAAAATTATAAAATATAAATATATGATTTAAAAAAAATATTGTGTTATTACAATTATTAATAAAATAAATTATTTATTTTAGTTATTAAAATATAAAAAAATTATTATTTTTATAAAATTAATATTTTTATTTTTATTTTTATTATTTTAATTATTATTATTATTATTATTATTATTATTATTATTATTATATTTTTATTTATTATATTTAATATTATTATTAATTAATAATTTTTTTTTCTATTTTTTTTTTTTTTAGCTTAATTAATTTTTATTTAATTAATTATTAAATATATTTTATAAAAAGTAAATCAAATAAAAAAATATTATATCTTTATTTACAAAATTATTTTATATATTTTTTTTATATATTTTATATATATATATATATATATATATATATATATATATATATAAATTAAATGATTTTTTTTTTTTTATTATTATATATTAAATTATATATTTTTTTAATAATTAAAAATATTTTTTTTTATTTTTATATTTTATTTATAATTAATTTTTTTATTTAATAATTATATTTATTTTATATATAAATATTTTTTTATTCTTATTTTTTTATTTACATTTTTATTTATATTTTTCTTATTATTTTGATATAAAATAATAATTTGATTTTTCAAATAATATATTTATTTTGTTATATATTTTTTTTATTTAATATTAATTAAATTTTATATTAGTTTTTTTTTAATAATTTTTTATATTTTTATAATGAATAAAATTTAAATATATTTTAGATGTAAAATATAAATAAGTTATTTATCAAAAATCAGATTTTAAACAAATTTCTATATTAAGATTGTATAATTTCATGTGTATTTCAAAGTTTATATATTTAATTTGTATATACTTTTTCTAAGTAATTCTTTTATTATATATTAGAATTTATTTACTATAAAAATATTGTATTTTCTATTTCTATATATATTAATTATAAAACATAATTATTAAATTATTAATATTAAAAGATTATATATATTAATTAATTTTTAATAAATAAGTTCATTTCTTTATATTAATTATAACCACTTATTTAATAAGTGTTCGCTTGCTATTTTAATTTTTTTTATCTATTTATTTATGAATAAGTGGATTAAGTATATATTCTTTTGAGTATTTTACCGATTTTTAAATATATCATAACTCATAGTAATTATAATAATAATTTTAAATATAACCAAAAAATATTATATTATTTTATATATATTTTTAAAATAGTTAAAAAAACTGAGTAAATATTTTAATTAGAATATTTTAAATTTATATATTTTATTTAAAAATAATATTTTTTATGAGTTTAATTTTATTTAATAATATAAAAATTTAATAGTTTCATGAAATTTTTAAAAATAAAAATTATATTTCAAAATAAGATATATATATATATATATATATATATATATATATATATATATATATATATATATATACATAATTATATATATATTATAAATTTTTTATTATAGATTTAATATAAAATTAATTTAAATATAAATAGTATTTTACAAAAAAACAAAAAAATATAAATAAATTACATAATACTCTCTTATTTTATATATATAAAAATAATGCTTATCAAATAAATTTTTACTATTAATATTTCCAGACTTAAGATTTAATGAATTTTTTTTAAGGAGTAAACAAAAGTAATAATTTTTAATTTAAATTACATTAATCATCTGCTTTTATATCCTCAATTTATAAATTAATATCATCCTTATT